CCCACCTCCCTTGGGGTAAAAGCCCAAATTCTCCCCACGGCCCAAAGGCCCTGCATGGTCTGCAAGGCCCAGACCCCCCCTCCCCCTTCCTTCCCCCCTCTCTCCCCCTCTGTCTCTCTTAATCTAGGCCAGTGTCTCCCTCAGTTTCTCTGGCTCCTCGAGGGTCTCTGTGCCCTTTGCATCCTTGTCCCTGTGTCCCCCTGTGTCTGTGTCCTCAAGTACGCCTTTCTCCGTGTTCTGGGCGTCTTGTTCTCCCTCTCCCTGGATGTCCCCTCTTCTCTGCTTGTGCCTCACTCAAGTTCTCTCTCTGTGTCTGTGTTCTTTTTCCTCCCCCCCCACTCCTGTGTGTTTCACTCTCCTGGATCTCAGAGGCAGGGGCTCCCCAGTTGTCTCTCCCTGTGCTTTGGGGTTTCTCCCAACTGTCCTAACCTCAGCACTTGGTGACACTTTGGATAAATCTGGATAATTCTTTGCTGTAGCGGGGAGGGTGCGGGCTGTCCTGTGCTTTGCAGCACCGCTGGCCTCTCTCTACCCACTGGATGCCAGGAGCACACCCTTCCTCAGTCGTGACAACCAAAAATGTCTCCACATATTACCAAAGATCAGCTGGGGGGTGAGGGGCTCAGAGTCGTCCCTGGTTAAGAATCACCCCTGTTTCTCTGGCTCTCTTTCTCTCCCCATGTAGCTCTTTTTTTTTCCCTCTGTCAGACAAGCCTGTCTGTAAATGTCTCTCTCAGTTCTCTCTCCCCGCATGTGTCTGTCCCTCCTTCCCCGACCCTCATCACGCCCCAATGTCCCTTCTTTTTCCCTGCCCCAGGACCTCACCTGTCACGAGCAGTTCCAGTGTATCACTGGGGTGGGACCAGACACCCAGATCCCAGCCTGCCATCCGGTACTGGCAGTGGTAACTGCCCCCCTGGGCGGGGGTCACCTCCTCCAGGAAGAAGTCTGTCAGCTCCTTGGACACCTCCCAGTGCAGCACAGAGATGACCTCTCCAGACTTGAAGAGTGCAAACCTCCAGGCGGGTTGAGGGGCCCGGCAACTCAAGGTCACGTTGACCCCAGGGGTTACAATTGCGGCAGGCTGAGCCCCCAGCCAAGGCTTGGGGTGTGAGGCTGGGGGGACTGAATAAACAGGGCTGCCTGGGTCCCTGGGCCCATGAGAGCCCAAGGAGATGGGGTGGGAAGAGAATCACCTGAGACAATCTGCCTCTTTCTCATTTGCAGTTTCCCGCTTGGAAAATAGGAGGCACTGGACTCCAATCAAGGATGGTGAAAACTAGCTGCAAATCAGAGTATCAGAGCAACCCCTAAGCTTTACTCAATAGCTTTTAAACATAATGTCAAGGGATTGGGTCCCAGAAATCTGCAATTTTAAATTGCTCTTGACTTTTTAAAAAATGCTTTTATTCATTTTTGAGAGTGCCAGAGACAGAGCATGAGCATGAGCAGGGGAGGGGCAGAGAGAGAGGGAGACATAGAGTCTGAAGCAGGCTCTGAGCTGAGCTGTCAGCACAGAGCCCAGTGACGGACTCGAGCTCACAAGCTGTGAGGCAAAGTCAGATGCCCATCCGACTGAGCCACCCAGGCACCCCGCTCTTGACTATTTTTAACATAGTCAGCATACTTCAATAGTTGCCAAAACATGCTGTCTATTTGGGTAAAAAACAAAAACAAAAACAAAAAAACCAAAAATACAAACTTGTATTGAACTTTAGGCCATTCTCCAAAAATAGTTCCAGGTAAATTAAAGACCTGCTTTGGTTTTATTTTGTTTTGTTTCACTGTTATAGTATGAGAAGAAAAAAAGAGGAAAATGTATTTGTCCTGGGGGTAGAGAAAGCTACCTTAAAATATAAAACAAAAAATTCAGGAGACACAAGGTTAATTAATTTGATGACTTCAAATTTTTAAAGTTGTGTATGAGAATAGACATATGGCGCTAGGAGACAAACAACAGCCCTGACAGCAATGACTTTTCCACTAATCACATAGATTAAGAGTACAGAAAGAGGGGGCCACCTGCACGGCTCAGTCGGTTGGCGTCTGACCTTGGCTCAGGTCATGATCTCACGGTTCGTGGGTTCGAGCCCCATGTCGGGCTTTGTGCTGACAGCTAGCTCAGAGCCTGGAGCCTGCTTCAGATTCTGTGTCTCCCTCTCTCTCTGACCCTCCCCTTCTCACACTGTCTCTCTCTGTCTCAGAAATTAAAAAAAAAAACATTAAAAAAGTACGGAAAGAGGGGCACCTGGGTGGATCCGTTGGTTGAGTGACATCAGCTCAAGTCATGATCTTGCAGTTTGTGAGTTCAAGCCCCACATCAGGCTCACTGGTGCAGTGCAGGGCCCGCTTCAGATCCTCTGTGTGTGTGTCTCTCTCTGCCCCTCCCCCACTTGTGTTTTCTCTCTCTCTATCTCTCTCTCTCTCAAAAAATAAGTAAACATTTAAAAAAAAGAATATAGAAAGAAATCCCAAACCCAACTGAATTGAAAATTGGACAAATCATATAAATAAGGCAGTACACAGAAGAGGAAGTCTAATAGATGAAAACATATGGGGGGAGGAGGGGAGAGGAAGTTGCTTAATGTTAATAGTAATCATTGAAAAAAATTAAAACAACAGTTAATTTTTTTTTTGGCCTATCAGATTGTCAACAATTTAAAGAATGGTTTATATTCTGTTTGGGTAAAGATAGAGTGAAACGAGTAGTTAGGTACCCTTAAGTGCATCTTTTGAGAAGGCAATGTATGCATTTCTATTAAAATACACAGAGGAAATGACAAATGACCCAATAATTCCTTTCTACCCTATACAAACGGGCGCAAAAACCTCATACTGTAGCACTTGCTGAATCATGATGGGCGTACGGCCAGAGGAGGACTCTGGAAACAACCTAAATATACATCAATAGAGCCAAATAAAATAGAATCCTACCATACCTCAGCAAATGTTAAACAGCAGTTTGTTTTAATTTTTAATATTTATTTATTTTTGAAAGAGAGACAGAGCATGAGTAGGGGAGAGACAAAGAGAAAGAGAGACATAGAATCCAAAGCAGGCTCTGGGCTCTGAGCTATCAGCACAGAGCCTGATGTGGGGCTCGAACCCATTTTAAACCATGAGATCATGACCTGAGCCAAAGTCAGATGCTTAACCAACTGAGCCACCCAGCCACCCCAGCAGTTTTTTTCAAAAGCAGAGTTAGTTATAATAATAGGGAAACATCTGCAACAGATTGTAAAGTGAAAAATGTAAGATGTAGAACACTGTGGGTCATGAAATATCAATTTTGCCTTGGCAAGAAAACAAAGAAGTATATAAATACATATATGTGTCTGAATGCATGTGGATTTTTAAAATAGGGATCAAAGCTTATTTAAGGAAGAGGAGGAAGTGAAAGAGGGAGTTTCTAAGTACTTTGGTAATAATTTTTTAAACCATGAATGTATGTTAGCTTTATCACTTAAAAATAGTAATTTAAAATAATTTGATAGCTAAGGTATCAGTCGTTTTCTAGGCAATTCTTATTTGAAGCTGTAGTGTAGTGGAGGAAATTTGAGAGAAAAAAGAGATCTGACCAATCAGAAAACTTGAAAAGAGGGGCACCTGAGTGGCTCAGCCATCTGAACATCCAACTTCTGCTCAGGTCGTGATCTCACCGTTTGTGGGTTCAAGCCCTGCATTGGGCTTCAAACTGCAGTGTGGAGCCTACTTGGGATTTTCTCTCTACCCCCACTACCTGCCTCTCCCCTCATTCTTTCTCTCTCTCTCAAAATAAATAAGTGAAAGAAAGAAAGAAAGAAAGAGAGAGAGAGAGAGAGAGAGAGAGAGAAAGGAGAGGGGAGGGGAGGGGAGGGAAGGGAAGGGAAACAAAGCTGTAAGGAAACCCAAGGCTATCTCAGGGTGGAGAATCGTACTCTTGTGGATATAGGCTTCCAAGTGGCGGAATCATTGGCATTGCCAGAGACCCTATTTCTTGAGCCCTGCACTATGCCAAGCTCTGAGTCAAGGGTTTTTAAATTAATTTTTAAAATACTCTCTCCAGGCTCCGAGCCCTCAGCATAGAGCCCGATGAAGGGCTCAAACTCATGAACCATTAGATCATGACCTGAGCCAAAGTCAGATGCTTAACGAACTGAGCCACCCAGGCGCCCCTTATTTTTATTTTTATTTTTTTGAGTAATCTCTGCACGCAACATGGAGCTCAAACCCACGACCCCGAGATCAAGAGTCGCAAGCTCTTCCCACTCAGCCAGCCAGGTGCCCCGTACACATGGGTGATTTTATTACATCCTCACAAAAGCCCATTTCACAGAGAAGGAAACAGTAGCAAGTGGTGATTTGTTCAAAATCGTCAATGAATAGTATGGTGAAATTGAGGTTCCAGTTTAGGTGTCTTTAGCTGCCTCACCTATCCTGGTCAGTAAAGGGAATGAAGTTAGAAGGAAGGAAAACGAAGGGGGGAGGGAAGAAAAGATGAAAGAAGGGAAGGAAGGGGGGAATACGGAAATCTGGGGTGAAGCTGGGCACCAAAATAAAATCTGAGTAGTTGGAAATGGGCTGTCAGCAGCATACAGGTGAACGGACGGAGGGTATTACTCACCAGTTGACATGATGTCTGCATCACACAGAGGCCCTGCAGAAGGGGGAGGGGGTTAAGTCTTCTCAGAGCCCTAGGCTGCTGCCATCCCTATCTCATTGTGAACCCAGGAATCTAACGCCCCAGGCCCTCCTTCCTCTGGGAAACAGGATCTTGCCTCTCTCAGTAGCTGTAACTGTAAACTTCAATCCCCACCTACTTCAGGAGCCTGAGGCTGGCCCCAGCCCCATCTTGCCTTTACACCCAGTGTTCAGGCCCTGGACTCCCTCCCTTCCACAGGGTCTGGGCCCCCAGCTCCCTTCTACCCAGAGACCCAAGTGGTCTGGCTTCATCCCCTCCCACATCAGAATCTAGGATTCTACATTTGCTATCCCCAGGAGTTCACGTACCTGGAACCCTCCTGCCTCGAGACCCAGGGAACCCTGTCCCCACTCCCTCATTTCCCTTCCAGGAACGGGAATTCAGGGCTAGTGTGTCCTCCTGCCATAGGACTCAAGGATCTGGGCCCCATGCCCTGTCCCCTTATTCTGGCCTAGAATTCGGGACCCTCAGCTGCTGCTGCCTGACCTTCCTGCACCTGCCCTCAGGGAAACTCAGGAGCCCTCTTCCTTGCCCCTCACCTGCACTCCCCCCCCCCGCAGACTCCACCCACCCCCCACTCAGGGTGTCCAGCTCTCCAGAGCCTCTCTTTCTGCACCCCAGCCAGCCTGGAGCCCAGCGAGAAGGCGGTGGAGCAGCTCACAGAGGGTCAGCAGCTGAAGGAAGAGCACCAGAGTCATGGTGGGCAGATTTCGGCTGGAGCAGAAGTAGGAGCCAGGGCTCAGCCGTGTCCTCTAACGTCTCAGGAAATGCAATTTCAGAAACCCAGAGCTCTGTTTAAGGGAGGGAGGAGGGAAGTGGGGCCTCTGGCTGACGGAGTCACAGCCCCATGGTGCTGTGGAAAAAGCTGGGAGAACGGGCAGTCGCAACCAGTTCACTAAATAAATAAATAAACTAGCTCTTATGTGTCAGACCCCGTGCTGCACTATTGTGGGGGCACAAAGAGGAGTCAGACCCCATCACTGCCCTAGAGCAGCTCCCAGTGTGATGTAAAAAGGGAGGCCGACCAGGTGAGTTAAAAAAAAAAAAAAAAGAGAGAGAGAGAGAGAGCTACCATAGAAGCCAGATATGGCGCTGAGAGAATCCACAGAAGGTCTTTAACCTTCTGTGGATTAGATGAGAGTTAAAGCTTCCAGGACGAACTGATGTTGAACTGCGACCTCAAATGATAGCTCAGTCATTTGTCTTCTCCCAGCCTCCGTTTCTCCGTCTATAAAATGGGCTTTCCTGAATAAACTCTAAAATGAGGACTATTGCATTCCGCCTTAGATGGGTCGCAGCTGGAGGACGGGGAGTGCACCTCCGGAGTGACCCCTAGGCGAAAGAGACAGGTTTGCACTTCAGTCTGCAGCACCGCTTCGGACAGCTGCTCTGCTGAGTGCGCACGCGTGGACTCAGACTGCGGAGACGCGCGCGGGGACCACAACTCCCGAAGTACCCCGCGTCTTCGCCCCGGCGACGGCTGCTCTTTGCCAGTGCGCACGCGCTGGCTCAGCGAAGCCCCCGGGGCAGGGACCACAACTCCCAGAGTGCTCCGCGCTCTTGCCGCAGCCGCCGCCGCCGCCGCCGCAGACACCAAGATGGCCGGGAGTAAGTGACGGGGCCGCTGGCGCGCGGGCCCGGTGGTTCCGGGAGCCCAGAGCAGTGGCGGGGCTAGGGCAGGGCCGAGCCCCCGTGGAGACGGAGGGGTCTGGGTTAGCGGGGGACGCCGAGATCACGATGGGGCTCCTTCAGGGTGGGGGTGGCGCGCGGAGGTTAGAGGTCATCTGGGGCTTCTCCTGCAGGGGTGACCCTCCTCGCCCCCCTCTCCAGGACTCACCGCCTTCCTCAAGGATGTCTGGGCCAAGGAGCCGGTGCTGGTCGCGTCCTTCACCATCGGGGGCCTCGGTGCGTGAGCGTGCATCGCCCCCGGCCGGCGTCCCAACCTTACCCCCACCCCCACCTTCCCCAAAGGTCCCATCGCCCCCCACCTGCGTCCGTCCTGGAGCTCCGAGGTCCGGTCGCCACCCTCAAGGTTCCATTGCTCCGCTGGTGTGTCAGCGCCCCCGCGCCGACCCCTTGCCTACCCCCTCCCCAATATTATGACTCTTTCCCACCCGTACACACCTACCCAAGAGGGACATGGGTATGCATTAAAAACACCGGAGCGGTAAAAATAAATGTCCGAACCCTACCCACTTTCCACCGTCGCCACCCGTCAGATTCAGTGGAGGTGGGTGGAGGTGGGGCTGGGGAATCTATCCTGTGCAAACGCTAACGGGCTGCCCTCAATGACAACCTGTTCTAGAACAAGGCTTAACGTGCTTTGGGCGTCACTTACAGGCTGTCATTGGTTAGGTCTGGGATGCAGCGTTTTTGTCAGGGTCCCAGACCTTGTCAGCACGGGTGGTCTGTGGGCCACACGCTGGGTAAGGTTCTAGAGCCCCTGTCCAGTACTGCAGCCACGGGCCACACTGGCCACTGAGCACCTGAGATGGAGCACTTTACGCTTGTGGCAAGTACACACCGGATTGGAAGGTATAGGACAAGTACCTAAAATATCTTCAGCTTTTTGCATGTTGACTATATGCTTAGTTGATGCTTGCGATGTACCAGGTTAAATAACTTTTTAAATTAATTTGTATCCTTTAACTTTATTTCCAAAGTGGCTCTTAGAAGGTGTGAAATTAAAGATGTGGCTCCTGTATTTGTAGTGAAGAGTGCTGGCCTAGAACATTGTTTTATACCCCCTTCCCCAGCTCTGGGGACCCCTGGCTTCCGCCCTAGGTGAACCTTAATTTCTCTGAAACTAATCCTTTCTCAGTGACATCCCCCATTTCCCTCATTTTGTTAAAGTTCATGATTTCTCTGGAACATTCCCAAAACACTCCCGTACCCCGCCACCCTGTGCTTCATGACCACCTCTATACTCCTGCACTCATTCGATGACCACCCCCATTTCTTCCCCCCGCCTTCCTGCTGATAAATGGGGATCCCAGAGTGCCACGGGGCTCCTGGAGGGGCCAGGACCTCCCTGCCCCCTCTCATGCATTCGACTCCTACTTTGCCAAGATTCAGCTTCTGCCCCTGACCACCCCATGCCCTCCCCACCCAAGAGCCACCTTCCCCTAAGCCTCACTCCTGTGTCTCCACAGCTGTAATTCTGCCCACCATCAGCCCCTTCACCAAATACGCCACCATGATCAACCAGGTCACGCCCTACACCTATCCAGGTGAGCGGGAAGGTGGGCTGCCCAGAAGTGGTGGGGGTGGGGATCCACCTCCCTGTGCTGGGGGAGGAGTAAGTATGGGTGGATCTTTCCTCAGCAGGGACACATTCTGCAGTGCAGGCTGGACTGTTTTTGAGATGTAATCCACATGCCGTTAAAACTTATTTCTGGTCTGTTTTCATTTCTGAGTTTCTGTGATTCCAGATTTGTATTTCTCCCAGTTACCTTCTCTGCTGCTTTCTGGATTTTTGTCATTCGGGCTGTCTGCCCTCTGTTTGTCTCTGCTCTCCCATCCTCTGGGTCTCTGCCTGCTTCTCTCTGCACCCCCTCCTCCCCTGGGGTCCCATTTCCCTCTCCGAGTATAATCTGGCTTTCTCTGTGGGCCTCCCGAGATCTTGCTGGTCTCAGTGGGCCACCCTCCTGCCCCACAGTGCCCCTCCGAGATGATGGGAACATGTCCGACGTGCCCAGCCACCCCCAGGACCCTGAGGGTCCAAGCTTGGAGTGGCTGAAGAAACTGTGAGCACCTCCGGTGATGCGGAGGAGGCCCCCTCCCCTGTGGCCAATAAAATGTGAAAAGCGACCCCAGAATCGGACCTTGTGTGTGATCAGAGGTGGAAACAGTAGACGGTGGCCAAGGCAAGTCTGTCGGTCAGTTTATTGAGGGTTGGGGGGGTCAGTCAAAGGGGGGGCTGGCTAGGGTGGGGTAGGGCAGCAGTTTGTCTGGCCCCCGAGAAACCCAGCTGGAGTCCAGGGCCTCATCCGCTTCGAAGCCAAAGTCTTCCTCGACCTTAATCTGGGGGAGAGAAGGGGCAAGCATGAGCAGGCCTGGGACCTAGAGAAAGGCCGCTGGCATCACCGATCTGGCACCGCAGAGAGAACCCCAACACCCCCTGCCTTCCCTTCCACCCTAGTTCTGTGACCCTCCCTTCTCCGCTCCCAACCTTCTCCACCCTCCTTCCGCCCCCACCCCCAACCTGGTCCTTTTCCACCAGAGTCCTCCCCCCTGGGTTTTTCCAGCTCTTTCTCCTTCCCTGGCCATCCTGCCCCTGCAGCTGCCCCAGCCCTGAGGCTGCGTGGGCTGTGGTCACAAACCCCGGAGCCCTGGTCCCACCTGCACTGGCGCCAGCTCTGGAGTGAGCGCAGCTCCCGCTCGGCGTCCATCCCGGGGTGCTCGCCGCCTCTTGCGCCCACTGGGCCCCTCACCAGGGGTCGGGCTGCTGGGTTCCAAGGGTGCAGGTGTCCTTCGGGGTGGGGACAGCCCCTCCTTCTCTGGGGGCTCGTTCTCGGCGTTGCCAGGGGTGGGAGCATCCGTGCCCTGGCTGCCCTCGTCCTGGTGGGGGGAAGGGGCTGCAGGTGAAGGCTGCGTGCCCGCGCCCGGCGGCACCGCCCCCCCGGCCCGCCCGGAGGCCGCGCTCACCTCCAGCACGATGGTGAGCTGGCTGGCGCGGTAGTCATCGCCGTACGCATCCAGCACTCTCATGAGGAACCTGCTCCGGAGAGAGGCCGCCAGGGGCACAGCGTCAGCATCCAGTGGCTGGGAAAGGGGCACCCGACAGCCGAGCCCAACTCCGAAGCCAGGTGGCCCTCGACTCAGAAGGTTTGGAGCTCCCAAATCTGAGACCTGAGTGCCTAGTGCCTGCCCAGACAGTAGGACCCTGGGCCGCACGAGGTGACCTCTCCGCACCTGCTTCCTGCTCTGTCAACAGGACATGACAACCCTGAGTGGGTGGGTGGCCGTGAGGGTGACACTGCAGCTAGACAGGGGCATCTCCTAGTGCTCAGCATGTGCGGGCTCAGGGAACGTTCCGGTGGCAGCTGTGTTCTTTATCAGGACTGAAGGGCTAGACAAAGACAGGCGCAGGGCCGTCCCGCTCATGCTGCCTTCTCCGCTTCCCGTCTCCGCTTTCCCGGTTTTGGGTTCTTGTTTGTTTGCTTAAGCTCTGAATGCTACCTGGGGGCCAGCGCCTGGGCTGAGAGTGTATCACGCAGTCTCTTCACAAGTGTGTGTCCACACCGGCTCTGCACCGTCTCAGGGCCCAGGACACACCGGGGAACCAAACATCCCCATGCACACTGAGCTCAGTTTTGCAGGGGGACCATCAGCAGATCCACAGAACAGCGCAAGCTGCGGGGCGCCTGGGTGGCCCAGTCAGCTAAGCGACCGACTCTGATTTCAGCTCGGGTCATGATCTCAGAGTCATGGGATCGAGCCCTGCGTCAGGCTCCGTGTGCTGACAGTGCAGAGCCTGCATGGGACTCTCTTCCTCTCCTCTCCCCTCCCCAGCTAGTGTGCACGTGCTCATTCTAAAAGAAAGAATAAGCTTGAAAGCAGAAAGGGGAACACTGGATACTTGGAAGAGGGTTTGAAACCTCAAAAGGAAGGTGGGGCCCTGGTGGAGGAGGGGAGGGAGTGGCAGGTGGCAGGAAAGCCTTTCTGGCGGAAGGCACAGCGAGTACAGCGAGTGTGAGTGCGGCAGGGGTGGGGAGGGTGGGACTCAGCTGGCACCCTCTGCAGGGTTTCGTTTTGTTCAGAGAAGTGACTTGGTCCGTCTTACGTTTCATCTTTTTTTCCCCCCAGTTTTAAAAAAAGTTACGTTTTTAAGAATTGTAGTAAGACGTTCATAACATATAATCTGTCAACGTAACTGCTGTTAAGTGTGCGGCTTCATGGCATTAAGTACATTCACACCCCTGTGTGACCATCACCGCCATCTGACTCCAGGACTCTCTTCTTCGTCTTCCCAGAAACTCTGCCCCATGAAACAACTCCCCGTCCCCTGCGGCTGGCAGCCACCATTCTCCTTTCTGCCCCTGTGACCCTGCGGGTGCCTCGTGCGGTGGGATCATGCAGTAGCTTGCCCTGCACTGAAGGTCTTGCTTCCCTAAGTAGAATGTCGTGCCCGGGATGGCCTGTGGCGGGATTTGCTTCCTTTTTAAGACTGAATCCCACTCTCATGTGGAGACTGACCACATTTTGTTCATGTGCTCACCCATACCCGCATGCCTGGGGCCTCCCACGCTTATTCCAGCGAATACTGTTAGGGTCCTGGGCGTGCGCCCATCTGCCAGTGACCTGCTTTCAACTCTTTCGGGGGCACGCCTAGAAGTGGAATTGCTAGATCACGTGGGAATTCTGTTCTTAAATTTGAGGGAACTGCCTTACCACTTTTACACAGTGGCGTCTTTTTTTGTGACAGAGAGAGAGTGTGTACACGCACAGGGGAGGGGCAGAGAGAGGGGGAGAGAATCCCAATCAGGCTCCGCACTGTCGGCGCAGAGCCTGACGCAGGGGCTTGATCCCACGACTCTGGGATCGTGACCTGAGCCAGAATCAAGTTCCCCCGCTGCTGGTCCAGGGACCGCATCGTGAGAACCACAGGGCCAAGCCCCAGATAAGCGGTTCGCACGGTGAACTGTCCTGACTGCTCCTGTTAAGGGGAGTTTAGCAGCTACCGGTACTTTCCCAGCCGTGATGTTTCAGCCATGCGGGCCACCCCTCGCTTCCATTAGCTCTTTGGTTCTGACTGTGAAGAGGATTTTGGCTAAGGGGACAAACAGGAAAAGAGGTTCACCCAGGGTGTTGGGACAGGACCTAGGAGCGGGTGGCAGGAATCAGACAAGGGCCGTGTCCCTGGGCCCGGGGCGCTGGCGTCCTGGGTCTGTTTTGAGGGTGCAGCAGACGAGGGGTGACAAAGCAGCTGGAGGGTTCGTTCTCTGATGTGAGCAGACAGGGATGGGGGGGGCGAGATCAGGGCTGGTTCTGGATGCCTGTGAGGTGACCAGAAGTCACTGTCCAGCAGGCGGACACTGTCCAGAGCTGCAGACGGGATCCGGGGTTGGCAGTGTCTAGGTGGCCCTCGAACCACAGTGCTGCGAGCGTTGGGGAAGTGTGCCGGAACCTTCCCGCGCCTGCGCCATGCCCGCCTGCCGCTGTTGGGGAGCACCGCACATGCGGTCACAGCGACCCAGGAACAGACTCTGATGTCACGAACTTTCTACTTCATTTCAGTGAACTGAAGTGTATCCTGACAAATGTTAAATTTCAACTTTAACGAAGTCTCAGGTGGAGTCACCACCTGTGGCTGCTCAGCTGAGCCGGGACCCACAGCGGCACTGCCTGACACCAAGTCTGTGGCTTCACGCCGTGCTGCTCCCTCGCCCAGCCTCTCCTCCGGAGGCCAACTCCACTCCCAGCCCCGGCAAGTGGCCCCAGGAGCACTGGGCAGACGGGGAGGGGGCAGCGAGCATGAGAGGTGCTGGAAGCAGCAGCGCGGAGCAGGGAGGGGGGCGGGGGCCTGGCCGACACGCAGGGGGTTACCTCCGCTCCTGCTGCAGTCTCCGCGTTATCCTCTGCACCTGGTGCAGCCTGTTCAGGACCCGCTCGTTCACCTGCAGGGGGGCAGCAGCGCGCACGCGTCACCGGACTCCCCTTGCTCAGTCCACACCCAGGGAGCGGCCACGCTGCCCCGTGGCCTCTCCTGCTCTTCCACTCCATCCGCTCCACGCCCGAGGGCCTCCTCCTGTCCTGGGGGCCGCACCACACGCCTGCACAGCTCCCTCGAGTCTGAATTCCATGCTGCCAGTCCGGGAGTCCACCCAGACCTCCCGCTACACTGTAACACGCCCCATCCCCCCGCCAACCTGGGCGCCCAGCCCCTCCTCCCCGCGGGTTTCCTTCCTTCTGGCAGTCCACTGCCTTCTCGCCTACCCAGTTGTCCTGCTCACTGCCTGACTCCCCCACTGGGACGTAGTTGGTGGACAGGGACTCGTGTGTGTGCCCCGTGCCTCGAGCGGAGCCTGGCAGAGGGGGTGCTCCACACATACTTGCAAAGTGTAACTTAGCACAGTACTTCCTGTAGTGTAGCATGTCACGTGACACCGAACGGGCGGCTTGCTGGGGATTAGGCAGGAGGTGCCTACTTTAGGGCCGCCGGAGACAGGTGTGGGCCAAGACGCAGATGAGCAGGTACTGCCCCCTGGGTCAGAAGACCTGGGTTCCGACCCCAGCCTGCCACTTTGCCGGCTGACCTTGGGGAAGTTACTTAGAACCTCTCTGAGCCTCAGGTTTTTGCATTTGTAAAAACCAGGAATTACACCACCACTTAAGGGGGCGAGGGGGCTAAGAGCACATACCAGCTCTATTTGAGCAAATGACTGAGTCCCTTCGGACCCCAGCACCCATGTGTTAAACAGGACTGGGTCCCCACTGCCACCTGAGGGAGTGCGGGGGTGGGGCGTGGAGGGGGTAGAGGCAGCAGGGAGCCCTGAACAGCGGGTCTCCCCTATGACAGCGGCCCCTCTGACGGCACTACCCGCGTGCTGACTGAACAGCCCTGTGAACACAGGCCGCCCAGGATGAATGTTACTGCTGCCGTTGCTACTGTGGAAGCCCCGGGGGGAGCCCCAGGGAGAAGAGTAGGAGAGCCGTGGTCGAGGAGGGGAGGTCAGGGGAGCCGAAGGACGGCGTGGGGGCAACGGCAGTCTAGCTGAAGCCATGCGGTGTCTGGTTCGTGTCCTTTACATCCGATCTGTCCCCACACCATCTAGTTTACACCTACACACATACACATACGTAAAACC